AAAAAAAAAAGTTTTTCCCCCTGCTGTACCGAAATCATACCGAACCGTGACGTTAAAACCGAGGTACGTACAGAACCGTCATATTTGTGTACCGTTACACCCCTACAAAATAGAAATAGCAGTGTTTTTGAACATTAATTATTAAAATATTCAGTTTTGCCAGTTATATCCTGTTATCCAAATTAGGCTGCTTAGACCTTTCTGTAGCAATAAGTTAGAAAATATTTCAAATTTCTATTTGAGGCAACACAGAATGTAAATATCATAACAATTGCTGATGCTTGTATTGGCCTTCTGTGCATCTTCCACCAGGCCACTGGTCCTTGTTCCTCTTTATAGGTCAGATGTTATTATTGGAACCGAGTCGGTCTGTCTGTGTTTGATTGTGACATTATGAAACACAATCTGTCAATGTCTTCAAGTGCTGGCAAGATTTCTGATTTTTAATTTGCACCCAGTATATTTATTGACAAAGTCAGATTATTTAGATGATGAAGTCATTGCATCCTTTTGTGTCTTCCAGCAAATGCATGACAGATATTAACCCACATAAGTCCAGGCTGACCAGCAGAAGGCTAAACTGTGGAAAGACTGAATGGCAGATTTTAATAATTGCAGCCTTCTGCTTCTAATAATTTCTCAGCTGTCTTTTTTTATCAGAGAGCATGCTCATCAAAGACCACAAGACTTTTGGTTTTATCTCTTACAAAAACACCTTGCTTACATTTATTGAATGATGAAAACTGACAGTAACTGAAAATGAATAGGGAGCTGGAGGTAAATACCACATTTATCAGACAACATCAGTGGCATCATGTCTTTTAATTGGATTCAGCTTTCTAAATTCAGCTTTTGGGAGGTCTAATAAATAATGGCAAGACAACAGAAAGCTGTGTGTAATACTGGCTTTTTTAAAAAACGTTGATGTTGACTTGATTTAGTTTGACATTTAATGTTAACGGGAACTTGATAAGCTCAAATTGAAAAATATTATTATAATCAGAATATAATTTTTGCAGGAAAATCTGCCTTCATCAGTAAATTGCTTTGGGAACAAAAACAGATTTGTTCAAATGTTTTTGCAGTGTTTTTTTAACTACATTTTTTTTGTAGTTTTAAAAAATGTTTTAAAACTACATTGTCTACAGTGTGTAAAATTATGTTCAGCTTAACAAAAAATGCAAACATAAAAACATAAATATATAGTATATAATGTAAAAGTACATAAACTATATAAAACTATAAGAATAATGCAAAAATCTTATGACATTAAGGTTGTATGATTAAAAATATGCATTTAATATTTAGTTCAAATCACTGCTGATATATTCTTGGTGGCAAGACGTTGCCTCCCAAATGAACCAGATGAATACGAGTATAGAAGATGAAAAGAGTTCAATATAATGGGGAATTAGACCTTGTACCTTTTTTGTAATAAGTATTCAGATCTGGAAGTATTATATTGTTGATCTTGTTTTGTATGTTTTTATTTTATTTTATTTTTAAAGAAATGTATACTATGTACATACATACATTGATTTGTGGAGTCTGATTTATATATTTAAGTTTATGTCATTTTTTTCCATCTCCTTTATAGTATATGATTATATTGTGTTTGATTTAATTTGATATGTAATCATCGAACTTCCTCTCTTCTGTTTGTCCTGTGTAGATCGACCAGGTGATTGTTATTTGACTAATTAATTGCTGCTCAAAATTAACTCGGATTGTGTTTGTTACTCACACCCTGACGAAGGCAAAATAGCCGCAACGTGTAGGTGTGCACTTGTCACCTGTTTTTAAAACCTATAGCCATGATGAAATAAAGGCTTTTTAAAACTTTTTGAATAAGATTCGAGTGCCTTGGACTACTATTATTCTTAAGACTTCAATATAATGTGTTATGTTTTTTTACTTCCTTACAGACATTTTTGTGGTTCTTTATTATGACTTTTAGATTATTAAGTGATGAGTGTATTATTATTAGGTCTGTAGTACAGAATGACCTGGCGTCTCCTAACAAGAGTATTTTCTTATCTTGTAACTGAGTGATCACAGCCCACCTATTAACTCAAGTTCTACTATAGCACCTGTAAGGAGGAGAGTGCCAGCTGAATACACCCATGAACCTTTAATCTCCTTTGGTCCATAGATCACATTTCAGCCATGCATCCCTGTCCAACGCCCTCTGATAAATAAAAAAGTGCAGTTTAAGTCTCAAACATTCTTATCTTTGTAACAGCTGCTTCCCTCCTTGCTGATGTCCATCTTGTTGGCTGACTTTTACCATCCCTCCCTTTGTTAAACAACAGTGGTGTAGATATTGAATTCACTTTACAAATGACTAAAACTTATCTGGTGGCTTTCCATGCGTAGACGTACACTAGAGCACTATACGGTATGTTACGGTGAATGTAGTTCATATACGCTGACTTTGTCACGCTCATTCCATTCCACCAATGTGCCTGTTGGCTACAGTATGTGTAGACCTGAAACATGAATGTAATGAGGTGTGTTGTGTAAGTGGTGAATCTGAGGTAATGATGAAATGACTGGAAATGAACCTGTGGGGAAATCCCTGGCATGGCGATGAGGATTAAAATAATTAATTAATAAAAATGGAACAACCCAGAAAACATCACACAAAACAGGGAGTATTGTGTGTGGGAAAGTTACAAATAACTGCCTTTAGTACTCTGCATCCTTATCTTGATCGTGTATCCGGATTTTTAGTTTAAACTTGCTGCACAGAGCCCTCTTGATAAAATAAATATATTTTTTTTAATTATTATTATTATTCATTAGCTTCAAATTAGGTGTTCATCACCAGTTCATTTAAATAATGTATTTTTTATTCATTAATTTATTTATTATGATATACATAATATATGTCTGTATATCATGCAAGTGCAAATTATTTTCCATGTAATCATTTGTGTTGTCCTACACAATGCTGTCACCTATTGGTGAACAAATGAAAGTTAATTTCAAGCTTGAAATTGTTTTAGCAATATGAGCAAGCATTTCAAGTCTTAATTTATTTGTATTAACTCATCTGCATCAGCCTGAATACATTAATTTACACATTTAATAGCAACATTTTTTTTCAATTTAAAGTCTAAATCCTGTTAAATAAAAAAATGTGTTCATAGGTATAATTACAAAAAAAGTGTAGAATAGTACAAACTGTGCTTCTGAATCACATTTATGCACATACAATATACTTGCAACATTCGAAAGAATTAAATCTTCAGAAACAGTACAGATTCTGATAACGCACTTTCATAACATGCTTCTTTCCTACATCTGTCTTCTCATTGAGAACACTAAATATAGGCACTCCACTGGCTCAACATCCACAGTAACATTATTCTACTTACTTCACCCATCATATCAAAGAATAAAATCAAGAACTTCTCAGTACACATGTTTGGCCTAAGCCTATACATTTACAGTATATGTTTTCATTAGTTGTGCATTACCAGAAGAATATGTGTGTTAATTAATCATAGTCCATAACAGCATCTACTACTTGCCGTTTTCTTGTCAAAGGCAAATTATCTCACAAATGTAGTCTCCTCCATGCCATTCTCTCTTGACAACAGTGGCACATAAATAAAAATACACCTATTGCACTTCCAAATCAGAGTTCCTGTATTGGCTGAAGTAAAAATAGAGATCCAACATTGATCACTGTACTACCCTGATGTAACCGGCTCGTCTTGAGTAACTTGTTAGACGTGAGCTCTGGCTCTGTGGATGTCTGGCACTATTGTGGCAGTGGCACCCTGCGGCATAGAATAGGCTGTGCTCAAATTCTGCAGTCCAACCACCAGACACTTCCAGCTGTAACGGAGAGCTGTCCCGATATTCTGTAAAAAAAAATGTGGATAAACAAAGATGAATGAATATGAGGTAACACTTTATTTATAGTCCACTTTAGACATTCTAAGTAAATTTGCACTACATGCCAACTACCAATCATTTGAGTGTTAGTAGACGGTCTGCTTATATCTACTAAAACTCTGAGTTAGCTGACATGTAGTTGCAAAGTTACTCACAGTTAATAGAATGTCTGAAGTGGACTATCAAGTGTAACCCGAAAATGACTATCAACATAATACAGCTGTATTAACAATATGCAGAGTCCCCCATATATATTAACTCTGGTAGTTCTACTGAACTGATGATGAAGCAGCTTGTTTTTAAAGGTTTATTATTATTAAAAAGAACCTATGGTTAAAATAGATTATTTTAATAAATTAAAATAATTATCCGTGGTAATGTGATAACGTTTTAAGAACTAGCTTTATGATCCTGAATAAAAACAGTAACAAAAATACAAATAAAAACAAAAGTTGTTGAGAGAAAACAAGTTAAAATCATCGGCTACATAATAAAATAAAATTTGGTCTGTTTACGTTACATCTTTTAGAATTTTAATTAAACATCATAGCCTATACCCCAACCAGTTGTGAAATTCTATAGAAAAATACATTTATCAAACAATTTGTTGTTGATACTTTTAAAATCCGCAATAATGTTTCTGTCCGAGCTGTTTATATTAAACAATTGTTTCTGCGTTACTCAGACTGTAAGCAGTGTTATTATATTAAGTTACCGTGTAAATAATCATGATCAGACAAACAAGAAACTTTCACAGTTAATCACGTACTTTTCTTAACTTTTTATATTTGTCTTGTTTTTTCTTGATATTGTCATCTCGTGGCTGGTCAACAATATCATCCTCAACCAGCGGTTGGTATTTCTCTGGTAGAAAAGCGGTGTGCGCTTGTTTGGCAGACTTCTTTTTCTTGTTCGCGCGCTTCGATGAGTCCAGCATATGCGGCTCGTCCTGAACCTTGATTTCTTCCTTAGCTGCTTGATCGTCGTTAGTGTGAACTGTTTTAGATTTGTCCTTCTTTTTCCGTTTGAATTTGACGCGTTTTCGAGACATTTTATTCGCATTAAAGTACACTGTCCATCGGAATCAGCTGAATGTGTCAGGGGCGAAGGTCACGAAACGAAATTCGACCGGAATAGTTCAGCGCATGCGCAGTTCTGCGCGGGCTAATCACTGACATAATCACTGTGATATGCTGCCATTATTACAAACTAGATATTATCTGTTTAGACTGGTTTGAGTACCACTTTTCTTTTTGAAATTGGTATTCAGTAAGTGTTATGTTACCAATCCCCTTGTCCAAATACCCACACTTGCGGTCTTGGCCACTTGAGAGCGCGTGCGCGCGACAGGAAGTAAGTGCGCAAGACTGTCCCAGGTCTTAAAAATACCAAAGCACAGTGCCCTTAACTCACACTAAACCCACCCTATCTCGAATACCGTTCCGGAGCGCTATTCGAGGCTTAGTGTATCCCATCATGCATCATGTTCTGGAAATAAATCGTGAGACTTTTTGCCGAGATCTCGCGCGAGGTCACGGAAACCTTTCCAATGTAAGATAAATATTAATATAATAATTAGATATTACAAATAATTTGGTAGAAAACAGTGTTTTTACTTTTATTGGTGCAAAGATGAGTTGTGGTGATATTTATTTTGTACAACATTTTTTTATCATTTAATTAGAAGCACCACAAATTAAAATTATGTAATGTTATAGGGACTACTGAACAGACATTTAGAAGTTGATTTTAAAATGCAAAGTTTTTAAAATTAAAATAAAGCTGTGTAAACACTTGCATTTTTACAACACTATAAGCGTCCCATCAGGTAATGAAAAGTTCGACACACACAGGAAATACGTCATTTAAGTAATCAAGTGGTCAAGTGCAAAGACCGCAAGTGTGGGTATTTGGACAAGGCTATAGAGTCTTATTCCATGACATAACATAGGCTACATCATCTGATGACTTCAACTGAAGAACTTGGACAAAGTTCAGCTTGAGTTGTAAATTTTAGTGTGTGAGAGGGAATAGTGGAGTTTATGCAGTGGATTATGTCAAACAATAGATAAAAATATAGACCTATCATGCACTGAAACATTAGGCCTACATCACTTTTTTTTTTTTTTTCAAAAGAAGAACTGTACCAGCTTTGCCTTAAAGCACATGTCTGACTGCTCTACCATTGATTTATGGAGTTTGCAGTAGGGATGTAACGATTAACCGCGAGCCGGTTGAAAATCGATTCAAATATGTGACGATTCAAATTGGTTGAGATGCTAAACAAATCGCGATTCATTTAGGGGTAGGAGTTTATATGAATGCATGTCTGAGGGGAACTTACTGTCTTTAGAAAAGTTTAGATGGTATTATTTTCTTTTCCTCTTGCCTCTGTAATGCATATTAAAGGGGTCATACGATGCGATTTCAGTTTTTCCTTTCTCTTTGGAGTGTTACAAGCTCTTGGTGCATTATGTTTACGCGGCGCGATGCAATGCAACCCAACACGTAAAAAGAGAGTATAAGTCATTATAATCAGTAATTATGTCCCCACTGGATGAAAGTGCAGCGCTGCTTTGTTTACAGCGGAAAAAAAGGAAACGCTTTACGCGCCACCTGCTGGCAGAGAGTGAATCTGCGTCTCATTCAGATCGTGTGCTGTTTCATGCAGATCTTTTTTATGTATGGTTTCACAAAACTGAATTCAAACCATTCTGTTTTTGCTTAAAATTTCGAAATTATACAATCTAATTTAGATTAAAAACTGCTCATGTTGCATGTATGCAGCATCTTTTTTTGGATCATGATTAAAATGCAGTGGTTGCCTCTAATTTTAAATGGAAAGAGCACAGACAAAGCCTTATTTTGTTTATATGAAGAGATTTATTTGATTTGTGTTACTTATTTATTTGATTTGGAGCTTGTTTTAAAATTTCGATTTAGTTTTGTTATTTACATTTACATTATATTTCAATTTTGTCATTTAGCAGACAATTTTATCCAAAGTGACTTACAAATGAGGACAATAGAAGCAATCAAAACCAACAAAAAGCAATAATATGCAAGTGCTATATTAGTATATTATTATAGTGTTATATTTCAATTTGACAAAGAAATGTGAAGCATTTTGTCCAAGCAATAATAAAAGGACACATTTAATTTATAATTTGTCTTAAATCTCATTTTGTTAAAAAAAAAATTGTGAATCGAATCGAGAAATCAAAATCGTGAATCGAATCGAATCGTGAGTTGAGTGAATTGTTACATCCCTAGTTTGCAGGTATATGCCACTTTTAGTTTATGGAAGGAAATATGTTCTTTACCACAATACAAAAGAATGTTAATACATTTAAATAGTCTGACACAATAGTTTCTGGTTAGATTATTTCATTTTAGGTTTTGATGTGGAATACATCTTGTTGCATTATGAATAAATATTGCTAAAGTCACAATGTTAATTCCCTTTTTCTTTAAATAAATACATACATTTTTGTTTTATTACAAACATCAATGGAAATAACAAATTTTGACCACAAGACATCAAATATATTTTATGCAAACTACATATTTATTTGCAAATGCACAAATAAATTATATGCATTGTGACATAAAAAAGTTGCTATTTGTTTTGTTTTGTAACTTGAAAAATACTTTTTGTTTTGATTTGTTTTGTAGTTTTAAATGGGTAACTATGTTCCCCACTGTTAGGATGATTCTGAATATTACGCAACATTCTTATGTAGTAACTATATGAAAGTTACTTTACGTGTTTAACATATCAGCTTGAACTCCTATATACACTGTGCCTTAATTAACATATTGATTAGATCTGTGAATCAGGTTTTATGACATGCATTTATCATTTTTTATTATTTTTTATTTTCTTGTGTTATCCTTGTGTTCTCACATTGGATATGTTCATCCTGAACTTTGAATGACAAGTCAGAGTTGTCACATTGTGGTCTTTTGACTGATTGGAGGA